ACCAAAAGTGACAGGATCTTGTTTAATCACCAGGCTGGCTGAAATTTGCCCTCTTCTGCCTCAGCCTCCCAGAGTGCCCGAGTTACAGGCATGTGCCACTGTGTCCAGCAGAAAGTCTTTTTTAAAAAAGTAAAAAAAAAAGTCTGCCGTGTGTCAGGTATAGAGAAGTGCTGTAACTGGCTGTGGCCTCAGCCCATACAAGCTGATCACTGTGATTACAGGAAAGGGAATGCCCAAGACCCCTGAAACTACTTGGTCTTAAGGCGGGCTTCCTATAATCCCAGTACCTGGGAGGCTGAGGCAGGAGGATTGACCAGGTTTTTTTTTTTTTTTTTTCCCTTACCGGGAATCGAACTCACAACCTCACGCTTGCCAGGCAGGCGCTGTGCTGCTGAGCTAAATCCCCAGCCCCTAACCATTCTTTTATATAACCACAGTTTAATAACCAAATTTCTGGAAACTGATATTGAGACAATCCTATTAATATTCACAGGTATTCATATTTTGCAGTTTATCCCACCAGTATTGTTCCTTTTTTTTCTTTTTTTGGGGGGGCCGGGACTCAAACTCAGGACCTTGTGCTTACCAGGTAGGCACTTGCGCCACTGAGCTATCTCCCCGGGCCCACTACTGTTTTTTCCAACATAAACTTTTCTTCTGATCCAGGAATACAGGTTGCTCTTAGTTATCACATGCATTTATTTTCAAAAAACTAACATTTCCCCTTGTTGAAGGTTCAAGTGGTATGTGAGGATGCTGCTGTTGGTCCCCCCGCTTCCTAAAGGCAGGCAGGTCCTCATTTTCTTGTGCGTCTTCCTAGACGTCCTGTGTTGATACATTTGCTCATGTATATGTTTTCCCTGGTTGAGCCCTGGTAGTGTACTCTGCACGGTTATCTTGGAGATCACGTCCTACCTGTATGCAAAGAGCACATTCCTCCTGCTACACCCTGTGAGTTGTCCAGTGTGTTGCAGATCCGTGGTGCATTTACTGTGTTCTGCTCTGATGGCTCTGAGCTGATCTCCAGGCCGTGGCCAGCACACGTGGCACTGCAGGAAATAACCTTGAACCCACATCATTTTGCAAGTGTCATGTGTATCGACTTATCGGCTAAATTACCAGCAGTGAAATTTGGGCTTCTGCGGTTTATGCATGTGTCCTTTCCTTCTTTCTTTTTTTGTTTTTATGGTCCTGGAGATTGAACACAGGACTTTTGCACTGAGCTACATTCCCAGCCCTCTTTTAATTTTGTCTCTTTTATTTTGAGACAGGGTCTCACTAAGTCACTAAGTCATCCAGGCGAGGCTCAAACTTTGGATCCTTCTGCCTCAGTCTCCCAGATCCTTCTGATTACAGGCGTGTACCATCATGCCAGGATGCATCTGTCATTTAAAAAAAAAAAATCCTGAGCTGGGCATGGTGGCGCATGCATGTAATCACAGCATTCAGGAGGCTGAGGCAGAAAGATCATTGTGAGTCTGAGGCCAGCCTGGGCTACAAAGGGAGTTCAAGGCCAACCTGAACTGCATAGTGAGACCTTGTCTCAAAAAGAACAAAACAAAACAAAAATCCTGGTCTGGGGGCATGGTGCAATGGTAGAGCATTTGCCGAGCGTGTGTGAGGTCCTGGGTTCAATCCTTGCACTTCTAGAAAGGAGGGAAGGAAGTTAGGAAGGAAGAAAGAAGAGGAGGAAGGAAGGAGGGACAGAAAAGGAGGGACAGTTGGCCTCCTCCAGCAAAATACCCCCAGCACTGTCTGAGAGCATGTAGGTAAAAACAGGTCTATTGAGATATATTTCATGCATCATACAATCCATTCACTGAAAGCGCTATTTATCTATCTGCTGCTAGGAATGGAGCCCAGGGTCTCACACATGGTACACAAGCACTCTACCATTGAGCTGCGCCCCTACTCCCAGTTCTGTGTATCTTAATATGGTCAGAGTTGTGCAAACTATCATCACAACCAATGTTAGAACGTTGCTATTGGCCGCAAAGTACTTCTACATCCCTTGGCCAGCACCCCTCAACCGCCCCATCTCAGCGGCTGGCAGCTTCCTGTCTGTATAGTGATATCTGCCCATCATCTGCATAAATGGTGTCATAGACCATGCAGCGTTCGTAGCTGGCTCCTTCCACCCAGCATCACACCGACAGGCAGGTCGGGGTCTGTGCCAGTGAGGCGATGGCGGTACTCGGCAGTCTCTGACTTTCCGGTGAGCCGGCACATCACCGAGTGCCTGTGTCCTCCTGTGTGCTTTCAGGGCTCCATTGGGCTTCAGAGGACCGGAAGTCTGTCCCGGAAACGGGGAGAGAGGGCGAGCCAGAGGGGACTGGCGCGGCCTTTGTCTCTCCATTGTACTGGTGAGGATGCCCTCCCCCACCCACCCCGGCCCTCCCCCTCCGCCTGTCCTGATGGAGAAAATGGCTTGAGGCCTCGGGGAGAAGTGGAGGGGCTTCGGTTGGGAGTGACCCCGCCTCCTCACCTGTCCCCTCTCTAGGAGCCCTTGAGGCCTCGGCTCTGGCGTCAGCAGTGGGGGCCTCTGGAAGACACCCCCTCTATCAGCTGCTAAACTGTGGCCCTGGCAATGGGTGAGCTGCCGGAGAGCAGGTGGGGTGGGAGGAGGAGGAGGCCCGGCCAGGGTGGTGACGCACGCCCTACCCCTGTGCCCTCCTCCCAGCTGCCAGGTCCTGCACCCAGACATCGCTCACATGGAGCAGCTCCTGCAGCAGGCTGTGGCGGAGAGGGAGCGGCTGCGCAAGGCCAGGGTGAGACCCCATCCTCCCTCCCTGAGCGAAAGGATGGCCCAGGCCCTCCTTTTGAAAACCGGGGACCCCAGCCCCCAAGCCCCCTTCCTCAGACTCAGGAGTCCCGGCTCCAGTCTTCCTTCTTGGAAATCCGGAATCCAGTATATTTCTTCCCATTTCTTATGGGTTGGCAGCCTCATTAACTCTTATCCTCAACCCACAGGAGGGGCAGAAAAGGACCGCAGAAGGCTCCTCAGGCCCAGGTGCTCCTGCCATCACGGTCAGTCCCGCCTCTTTCCTCTCCTTCTCCCTCTCCTTCCCCGCGGTTTTCTCCCTTTGTATATCTCACTCTTTCCTCCAGTGCAAGAGGAAAGCGCCCTGGGCTTGGGACAGGAAGGGGAACCAAGGGGTCCAATTTCTGTTTCCATGTCAGATCAGTCATCTTGGTTTTGTCCCTGGTGCTCAGGATTAAAACCAGGGCCTCCTGTACGGTGCTACCTCGGTCCACGAACTTAATTCTTTCCCCAGCAACCAAAATTGTGGAAAGAATTAAGTTCCTGAACCAAGGTACCACTTTACACCAAGCATGGGCTCAACCCCTGAGCTAAACCCCAGACCCCATTTCTCACTACCTCAGTTTCCCCTCTGTATGCTGGGGACAATGTTGCCAGATATTACAGAATGAGAGCAAATTTAAGAAATATTTTTATTATATTTAGGGAGGCTGAGGCAAGAGGATTGCAAATTCTAGGTTAGGTTGGGCAAGTTAGCAAGAACTGGTCTCAGAATAAAAATCAGAAGTCCTTGGGTTGAAGCTTAGTGGTAGAGACTTCCGAGGTTCAGCCCCAGTACGACACACAGATATTCAAGCAGATGCAAAGGGAGAACAAACTGATTCATAAATGCCCTGTGCCCACCGTACAGTTCCCACAGTTTCTAATAGTGAATCATATTTTACCTGCCATCATTGTTTTACTAATCCTATACCTACAACCCCCTCCGTACTGAGATTTTTAAAAGCAAAATTCCAGATAGTGGGTGTTTTTATGCATACTTCATTATGCTTCTCCAGTAGATGATGTTTCTTTTTAAAATTTTAACATAACAAAAATTCCACTGACATGCCTTATGTGATTATTAATAATTCTCTAGCATGGTGGTATTTCCCTAATTGTCTCTGAAATGTCTTAATATAGTTGGTTTATTTGAATCTAGATGCAAACAGCACATGTTGTACATTTAGTTAAATGTCTCTGAAATCAGTCTGTCTTCCTCTCGCTCTCTCTTTTTTTCTCTTTGGCTTTTTACCCATGCTGTCCTCAAATTTGTAATCTTCCTGCCTCAGCTTCCTGTGTACTGGGATTCTAGGCGTGCACCACAATGCCCAGCTTCAAATCTCTTTTAATCACCAAAAGCCTTTTCCCTCTGATCTTTTTTTTTTTTTCTCTTTTTTTTTGAGACAGGGTTTCGCTATGCAGTTCAGGTTGGCTCTGGACTCATTGTGTAACCCAAGCTGGCCTGAACTTGCAGCAATCGTCCTGCTTCAGCCTCCCAAGTGCTGGGATTACAGGCGTGTGCCCCCGTGCCTGGCCTTGTCTTTTTTTTTTTTAATGCCATTTATTTGTGAAAAAAATCAAGCCATTTGTCCCGTAGAGTTTTTTACATTGTGTTCTTTTTGCCGGATGTGGTGGTCTTTGAATTTTTTTTTATACTTTCTCATGTGCTTACGACCAATCAAACCATAGTTTGTGAACTTACTTGTCCCATTTATGAGACGACATTCCTAGCCTGCCTTTTGTTTTCTCTGCCATTTGTCCTTCTCTTACTCATTTCAGCCAGTGCATATTGAGCACCTGCTGTGTTCTAGGCCCTGGATTACAGCAGTGACCGAAATAAAAAGCCCCACCCTCCAGGAAGCTGATGTGTAGTGGGGGTGATAGACAAAAACAGCCTCAATAAGTAAAATAAATAGCCTAACAGATGCTGTAAGAGCCGGGCAGCAAGGTAAAGCGGGAAAGGCAGCGGAGCCTTCTAGGTTGCTAGCGTAAGCTCGACCTCATTAAAAATGAAGCCCTGCTCCAGGGAAGCAGTTTCCCCTGCTTTGTGGCATCATGAGTTATTAAACAGTCCCCATCCTGTCCATTGTAGTCTCACCACCCCGCGTGTGAATGTCCTTTGCGCAAGCCAGCAAGCACGCCTCCGGGATGCACAGCTGGCAGAGGAAGGGCTGGGCTGGCATGAACTCACCCTTCAGCCAGCAGGGCAGGAGGCTGCTGCATTACCCTGCCTGTCTTTCAGGGCAGGGGATGGAGGCTTGCAGGGGGCAGGGGTTCCGTGGAGGTGACATGGCCAGGGAGTGATGGAGTCGAGAGTCCCAGGCCCGCCTCTGGGCTCCTAGATTGGGGCTCAGCACTGCTATGTCCTAACCGGGTGACCCTAGTGAGCCAGCCACTTATCTAGAAGTCACCTGGCAAATGAGGACAAGGGTTGCTCTGCAGAGATAATGCGGCCGGCACCATGCGCCTCTGGGCCCAGTGCCTGACACATAGCGGGGGCTTCCATTCTTGGTGATGGTTCTAGGATTGCTGCAAGAATGAGGCCAGGTGCCTGTGTTAGACTCCAGGCTCCCTGGGTGGTTTGCAAACCCAGCCTTCCCTTCCCGCGCAGCAGGTCCTTCCCTACTGCCTCTTCCCCTCCCCACCCTCCTTTGTCTCCAGCCAACATATCTCACCTGTTTTTCAATCCTTCTTGCTCTGGCCTCACCTCAGGGCTCTAAGCCCCCTGTACTCAAAGTATGGTTGGTGGATCTACAGCTTCTGTGTCCCTACCGCACGGGAGCTTGTCTCACACGCAGAACTGCAGCTCCACTCCATCCCTTACTCGGGAATGCCTAATTCAGTCCGCATTCAAAACAAACAAAAGAAACAAACCCGTAGGCAAGTTTAACATAGTGGTGCATGCCTGTAATCCCAGCACTCTGGCTGAGGCAGGAGGATCACAAGTTTGAGCCCAGCCTGAGTAACTCAGTGAGACTTTGTCTCAAAATTAAAATAATAAAAAGGGTTGGGGATGTAGCTCAGTGTGAAATGAGGTTTAATCCCTAGTACCCTCCGGCCCGCCCCCACAAATTCACAGGGGTTTTGCTTGCAAGAATTGGTCTGAGGTGCACTGCCCTAAGACTCAGTTTGACCTTGGTGATCGTACTCTCCGAGCATGTATTATTCAGGAAGAACAGAAGTGATCACTGGAGCTGCTGGCCAAGGGGCCAACAAACAGTAGATACTTTCACTGACTTAAATGTTCTCCACTTCCCTTTATGACGGACCACCTGTCGTGTCAGCGGGTCTCTGAGTATTGAGTGCTGGCTGGGTCAGCTTTAGCTGTGTGCTTAGAGCTGGTGCCAACCTTTCTGAGTCTTGATTTCCCCTTCTGTAAAGTGGGGATTAATATACAGTCCTTACTCCCCAGCTCGAAGGGGCAGAGAACTCATGCCTAGAAAGTGCTTAGCACAAGGTGATAATTTCTAATTTGATCGTAGTACAGACATTAATAGTGCAAACAGTGTGCACAGACATTAATAGTGCAAACAGTGTGCTCATGCGTTGATCACTTACTATTTGGTCCCAGTGTTTAGCACTGGGGGCCCCCCACTTTGAGGATCCTGACCCCCATCCTTGGCCCTTTCTCTAATCTGGGGTTTCAGGATGAGCTCTGGAGTCTGCAATACTTCGGTGTGCGCTCCAGCGCTGCCACCTAGAAGCAGTGTGTGATCTCGGGTGGACTTATTTTGTGTCTCTTCCTCAGTTTGTTCATCTGTAAAATGGGGCTCAGAGGCACCGTGCCAAGGGTAGAGTCTGGGAGTTGGTACTCCCAAAACGCCGGGAGCAGTTTTCACGTTGGTCCCTGAAGACTGTAGCAGGCCCTGCCCTGGAGGAGGGGGGCTCCAGGCTGCAGCGCCTGCCCCTCCCCCACCTCTCGCTTCTCTGCGCCCCGCAGGCCCCGCCCGCGCCCGCGCCCCCGCCCCCGCCCCGCCCTCCTGGCCCGAGAGTGTTAGATCTCCGGCAGCATCTGGAGCGCTGCGGCCACAGCCCCGAAAGCTGCCCACACGTGCGGGTGTCGGGGGGCAGCTGTCGCGGACCCCTGGTGAAGATGGGCGGCCGCATCAAGACCTGGAGGAAGCGATGGTTCTGCTTTGACCGCCAGGCCCGCCGCCTGGCCTACTACGCGGGTAACCCCAGCTTGGTGCTTGGGTCCTGGGTTGCGGGAAGCCCGCCCCAGATGGGCGGGCAGGCAGGCAGGCCTTCCCGATCCCCGGCACCGGGGAGTCCTGGCCCCCATTTTAACCCTCCCCCAGGAGCCAGAAGTCGGGGTCTCTAGCTCCTTTCCATGAACCCGGGAGTCTGGGTACAGCCTGGCTTCTCCAGGGCCCAGGAATGCAGTTCCCGTCCCTTTTCCGTTAAGCCACCCAGAAACCAGACCCACAGCCCCCGTCAGCAACGTCATTTAGCACAGTTGGGTCGCCCAGACCCTACTCTCCTGAGATGCCAGGAGTGTGGGCACGCACCGCCCTGGTCCACCCACACCAGGAACCCTGGACTCTGCTTCCCTCTGTTGGGGAGCTGGTTTGGAGCCCTCCTTGGTTTCCTTCCCTTTTCAGGGCCCTGGGACTACCCCCACCCCCAGTTTGTCCAGTCTCGACATCCACGCATGTCCCAGCCATGACTTCAGGGACCTTCCGGCAGTGACACCATGTTCCCCACCGTAGCCCAAGTCTCAGGACTTGGGCCCAGGGACCTGGGCCTGAGAGGCCGGCGGACAGACGCCCCTCACTCTGTTTCTCCCTCACCTTCCTCCTCCAGACAACGAACAGACCAAGCTCAAAGGGGTCATTTACTTCCAGGCCATTGAGGAGGTCTACTACGATCACTTGCGCTGTGCCTTCAAGGTAAAGCTCCGCCGTGTGCCGCGCCCTCCCCCCACGCGGGGATGGGATGGGATGGGAGCTGTTGCAGTCAGGCCGTGTTCCACCCTTAGCTCCTCCTGGGGAAAGCCACTCACACCCAGTACTGCCAGGGTCTCGCCTTCCAGCACAGGAGGCCACCAGCTCCTGACACTGCACAGACCAAAATGAAGAGCTCCAACTCTGGCTCTCAATCATTATTAATTTTCACAGACAAAAACATCTCAAGCAAAAATTTGGCAAACTGCCTGGGGTGAAGGGCAGCAGCAGAGTATGTGCTTAACATGCTGTAAGCCCAGGGTTCCATCTGCAGCGCTGGCGGGGGGTGTGGGGGGGTGTTGGAAGAGAGAAGAGAAAAATTGTTAAACTCTGATGCCAAGCTAGGAATGAGTGGGAGTGTCTACATGACACTTTTTCCCATAATTGCCAAATGGGAATGAGCCCCATGGAGCCAAATTTACTTTTTCCTTTATAAAAGTGCAGTGCCAGAAATTTAAGTGTTGGCAACAGATACGATGTTCAGCATGCTCTGTAGAGAGGGACCAACCATGGCTGTTTAAAGTTTAAATTGGAATCTCAGCTGGATGACATCAGGAAAGTGACTTTTCTTCTCCAGCCTTAGTTTTCTTATCTGCAAAATGGGCATATTTCTGCCGATTCTCTCAGGGTTAAAAACATAATGGATGTAAGAGGTTGTGGGTTTGGCAAGGAGCTACTCATTTAATGGTTTCTAGGTACTTTCTCCATTTACAAACCAAAGGCATCTAGAGTTTTGGAGGAGGTGGGATACATTTTTATTAGTATCACCAGGCATGGTGATGCATGCCTGTAATCCCAGCACGTGGGAGGCTGAAGCAGGAGGATTGCTACAAGTTCAAAGCCAGTCTGGGCTACTTAGTGAGTTCAAGGCCAGCCTGAACTGCACAGTGAGACTCTGTGAGCAAAAGCAAACAAACAAAGAAATTGGGTTTATTTTATTTTATTTTTTATTTTTTTGGTTTTTTTTCCAGTACCGGAATCAAACTCATGACCTTGTGCTTGCCAGGCAGGCGCTATGCCACTGAGCTAAATCCCCAGCCCCAGAAATTAGGTTTTAATGTGGTATTTTCCTAAATGTTATATACATATTTTGGTCACATTCATTCCCCCATTAATCCCCCACCCTCCTCCTCCTTATTCCTTCTTTCTTATTTTATAATAGTGGGGTGCAATTTTTTAATTTATTTACAAGGTGAAATTTAATTTTTTTTTGGGGGGGGGGACAGGGTCTCGCTATGCAGTTCAGGCTGGCCTTGAGCTCACTTTGTAGTCCAGGCTGGCCTCAAACTCACAGTGATCCTCCTGCTTCAGCCTCCCGAGTGCTGGGATTACAGGCGTGTGCCACCACCCTCGGCTAAAATAGTTTCTTTCTTTCTTTTTTTAAATTCTAATATAGAATAAGAATGCCTATATTTCTAAGGAAGTAAGGCTGAGGGAAGGGGTCATCAGTCCTCTTGCTAAATTCCTTTTGTCCCAAATTTAATAGTGCTCTATTGCAGCGCTTTCTTGTGTTAATTAAAGTAATTCTCTTAACCCAGTGAGTAGGTAACACCATCTAGGAAGATAGCTGAGGAGACTGAAATTCAAGTATTTATAAGTTGTCCACCATCACTCAACCTGTAAACAGCAAGACTGGGATTCGAATCCAGCTGTGGCTGTTGTGTCCCCCAACCACTGTCTTTGTTTATTCCAGAGCCCCAACCCCCGCCTGACATTCTGTGTCAAAACCTACGAACGCCTTTTCTACATGGTGGCCCCGAGCCCCGAAGCCATGTGCATTTGGATGGACGTCATTGTGACTGCCGCTGATGAGAACCACGCCCCTTGAATGGCCCCACCTCGGGGGACTTCCCCCAGGCTCCGCCCCGCACTTGCGCAGCTTGTCTAGGCCCCGCCCACTGCCAGATAAACCTGCACCCGCCCCCGCTTTAGAACTCTCCCGGGAATTGTGCAGCCACTGTGGCTCAGCTGGTCTGAGCTACCGCATAGCGGGCTGCAGGTGCCTTTTCCCCCACTACAGGGTAGTCAGAAGCACTGCCAGGGGCAGGAGGAAGATTGCGGGATGGGGGGTTTGGGAAAGAACTATTTATTGGTGCTCCTGTGATACCGAATTAAACACGGTGGAAAATCGGGTTGCTGTTGTTTCCAGCCCTGGTGTGTGTGTTGTGGGGGTGCTCAGCCCCTAGGCAGGATGTCTGAGCTAAGGGTACCCCTGAGAGCGATGCATTCTACAGGAGGTCCTCTCTGTAGGAACGGAGACCTTCGATATTAAGGTCATGGCCTGAAAAGGGGAGTGGGAGAGATGTCTTTAGTGTTTTGCTTTTTGGGGGGGGGGCGGGTGGCCTGACTGGACTGTTGGCAATTTCTATGAACTCCTGAGTGCCCTCCCTCCAGACCTTCATGCATTTTTCCCTCTACCCTTCTCTTTCTTTAACGAACTAATTCCTCATTTTTAGGTTTTAGTTCAGTATGCCCCTTCCTTCCGGAAGTCCTCCAGGACTCTCCTGGCTGGGTCAGGCACCTCCTTTGTTTTTTTTTTTTTTTTTTTTTTTTTTTGGTTTTTCTCCGGTACCAGGAAATGAACTCACGACCTTGCGCTTGCCAGGCAGGCGCTTTTGCCGCTGAGCTAAATCCCCAGCCCCTCAGGCACCTCCTTTGGAGCACCCCGGGCCTATCCCTGAGCACCCTGGCTTATCCCTGGTGATGGATCACCGTGCCTTATAGCCTGGGTAGTACTGCGCAGACAGCCAGGGATCCTCTGGTTGCCTCTGAGCCCCCAGCACTATAGGACAAGTCTCACTCCATGAAAGTAGAAAAAAAAAAGCATCCTTGTCACTTCTGGGCTTTTGTAATGCCATTTCTTTTTGTTGTTGTTGTTTTTTTTTGTTTTGTTTTTGTCTTTTTGCAACAGGGTCTCGCTATGCAGTTCAGGCTGGCCTTGAGCTCACTTTGTAGCCCAGGCTGGTCTCAAACTCACAACGATCCTCCTGCTTCAGCCTCCTGAGTGCTGGGATTACAGGCGTGCGCCACCATGCCCGGCCCGGTTTGTAAAGCCCTTTGTTTGGGCATCTCTCCACACTCATTTAAAACTTCTCCCCTGTGTTAGTATGTTTCCTTCTCCAAGAAGCCCTCCCTGATTGTCCTGGCTGAATCAAGCGCTTCTCCGGGCTTCTCATTCCAGCCCTAAGCACTCTGCCTGAGCCTCCCCACCTCAGCCTGATGACTGTGCCGAGTGTCTCCCATCCTGGCCTTGACTGCCCTGGCCATCGCTGCTGATGGGTCTGCCTCTCCCTGTGTCCTGGGCCCTGCTGGTGTGTCTGTCCCTCCCTCTGGACTGCGGGCTCTAGGAGGTGGGCTGGGGGTGTCTCTGTCACTAATGAGGCCTTGGAACAGAACAGAGGGCCCAGGCAGCGCAGGGCAGGTGTTGAGGGAGTGTCCGATGGTTGAGGAAGTGATGCTAAAGATGGGAGAAGAGTCATGAATAAGGCAGGCCCAGAGCTCTTGGCTGACTTCTGTTCATCTTGGAGGTCTCAGAGTATCCCTTCCTGGCAGGAACTTTATTCCAGCTGCCATAGTCCCCTGGGAGCCCCCTGAGCACTGGCTGTCCCTCTGCAGAGGGCTCTTTCCTTCCCCGCAACAGTTCCCTCGAAGATGCAGATCTAGTGCTCCTGAGTCCTGGAATGCAGACATGCAATCCCCAGCTCCTCCGGGACCCCAGGAGTCCCTTGGGCTCCAATGCCCTCCTTCATCCGGGTGTGATTCTGGGTCTTGAGTCAATTCATCCCCCAACCCTTCTGCAAAGCAGGTCTTTTCCTGGGGCCAGCTTCACAGGCCTGTGGCCTGTGAAGTAGCCAGCAGCCCCCTCTGCTCAAGAGAGCCCTGCCCTTAGGGTGTGGTACTGGGACTTGAATCCAGGGCCTTTGCATTGAGCTACATTCCCCAGCCCTTTTAACATTTTTTATTTTGAGACGGTCTCGCCAGGTTGATAAACTGCCCAGGTTGGGTTCAAACTTTTATCCTCCTGCCTTAGCCTCTGAGTGCTGGGATTACAAGTGTGTGCCACCATGCCCAGCTTGGAGAGTCTTAGTTTTGTTTTGGGTTTTTTGGTTTTTTTTTGATACTGGGAATCGAACTCAGGCCCTTGCGCTTGCCAGACAGGCACTTGTGCTGCTGATCTAAATCCCTGGCCCTTGAGAGTCCTAGTTGTTGTTGTTGTTGTTTTTTTCCAGTACCGGGAATCGAACTCATGACCTCGCGCTTGCCAGGCAGGCGCTGTGCCACTGAGCTAAATCCCCAGCCCGGAGAGTCCTAGTTTTATCTTTGAGTCTGTGTCAGTGGAGTATGATGGAGAGATTGCAGCCTTAGGTCACTAGTGATCCCACCTCACTGCCTCCCACCTCCCTGGAACAGATTATATCTCCCTTTCCCTTCCTGTCCTTTTGTTTTTTTGACACAAGGTCTCGGATACGTAGCACAGGCTGGCCTTGAACTCACTATGTAGCCAAGGCTGGCCTCGAACTTACGGCGATCCTTCTGCCTCAGCCTCCTGAGTGCTGAGTGTTGGGAGCCCCCGGAGCTGGTTATTGGTCAAGCAGTCAAGCTATTTCAGTATTGAAAAAGGCATCCTGCCGGACAATTACAGTCGTTAGTCGCTAGGCAACATTATCTCTCATGATACTACTTTGCAAGTGTATAAAATAAATGCCCCTACTGTTGGAGTCAGTCCTCTTGCTCCTCAGGCAAGAGGTAACTCCACCTGACCCGGGCTATTGTCTCTTGTCTTTATTTTCTATATCCTCTCACTGTTTTCTCCCCAGGGACCATGGAGAGACCACCGACTCCCGCACTGGGATTGCAAGTGTGTGCCACTGTACCTAGCTCCTCTTCCTGTCCTTGCCCTGTGGCCACCTTTACACTTCACTCCTGACAGGGGCCTGGGCCCAGGCATGAGAAAATTAGAGGGGGCCTTTGTGCCTAGTGACATCTTGAGGTGCAGCACAGCGGTGGGTAGGGGCGGGAAGGGGAATGCAGCAACCAGGTAGCCAGAGAGCCTCCCATTAGGGTCTGTGCTGTCCCCATGCATGAGAGAATGGTGTGAAACACCTTGAAGAGTTGGGAGAGACATTGAGGTACAAAACAGGGAAGCGATGTTCATGTTTCAGCGTCCTTAGACATTCTTGGCTTTTGAACTATGTTCTCATAGTTATTTATTTATTTTTGTTTTTTTTTGAGACAGGGTCTCACTATGTAGTTCAGGCTGGCCTTGAACTTGCTTATGTAGCTCAGGCTGGCCTCAAAGTCATAGTGATCCTCCTGCCTCAGCCTCCTGAATGCTGGGATTACAGGCATATGCCACCACGCCTGGCTATGTTTTCATATTTTTATTTTGCTGTGGACCCCCAACATTATGCCGGTCCTGCTCACATCTCCCCTGATGTGTCCCAGACAGTATATCCCAGAGGGTGTGGCTCTGAGGTCACAGCCTGGCCTGCCCCATCCTGGATATGGCCCCAGGCTTGTCTGAGGCCCAGGCTTGACCTCCAGCACTGCAGGCTACCTCCGCTGTTCAGCTACTTGGGAACCAGATTCGAGAATCTCCTGGCAGTGTGGTCTGCAGAGGGGATCTGAGAGAGGCTGGGCAGGCAACAACCGTAAATGGAGGCCGTGTGTTCAAAACTCCCACTGGTCTCTGGTCCTGGGCCAGGTGCAGGTCAGCAACCCAGAATCCGGGCAGGCCTGAGCAAGAGGAGGCTCCCCTCCCTGGGTCCCACTCCCTCCCAAGACGCTAGTTCTTCAGGTCAGGCCAGTTGTGGTTCCTCCCTGAAACTCTCCCACGCTGTTGGGGCCCTGGGGCTGGCAGGGCCTCCTGCTCCCAAGCACACAATAATAGTATTATCACTTTGCCTGCTCGTTCCCTGGGCCCTCCTTCAGTCCCTAAAGGATGTAGGGATTTTCAGACTTATGTATCAAAGAAGGCCATTGAAGATCAGAGAAACAGATAAGATTGAATTAGAGTCAGGATTAAAATTTCAGTTTGTCCAATTCCAGACTTTCCCACTTTTCCATTGTCCATTTCCCCTGTCTCACTCCATCATGAAAGACAGCCCTTCTTTCCCCATAAAAAGGACACCCTGGAGCCTCAGAGAGGTGAAGACACTTATGCAGGGTCACACAGCCAACCAGAAGTAGAGCTGGGGTTCCAAGGCTGGGAGGCAGGGGCCAGGGCTGGATGATCTCATAGGAAATCACTCACTTTCTCTCTCTGAGCCACAGCAGGGTGCCAGGTGACCCCACCTATGTGACTGAGGTGCTTGTCATGGTTGGGAAGCAGGGCGCCCGACAGGGGCTGGGGGCCAGATATGTTTCTGAACATGGCTTCTGTTTTTCCTGGTGTCAGCTGGCCAGGTGGAGCCCACTCGGTTGCACCCCTTGCTACGTGAAGCTGATCGTGCATCTTCCCGTCTGGATTTCGGTTTCCTTCTGTGTGACATGGGTGCTCCTCTCCACCCCTGCACTGGGAATGCAAGAAGAGATTGCCTGTGAGCACCTTGTCTGGTGTGTAGCTGCAGCTCGAGATGTCGGGGCTAATCATGATAACAATTGACCTAACCTGCCGTTAGCAGTACTAATAACACCTAGAATGGAGCCCTATTTGTAGCATTTCACATATAGTTGACATTCATCACCACAGCTTTCTTATGAGGTAGGAACTGTTAGGATCTCCTTTTTACCGATGAGGACACCAAGCCCAAGTGAATGTCAAAGTTTCACAGCTAGTAAGCAGTGTATCCACACATCTGTTTGCTGGATCTCAAACCAGATCGTCTGGGTTTGATCCGAACCATGTGACCCTGGGCAAATTGTTCCACCTCTTTCTTCCTTGATTTCCCCACTGGTCCACTGACTATCCTTAATGTCTCATAGGCAGGGTGTGGTGTCACACGCCTGTAATTCTAGCACTCAGGAGGCTGAGGCAGGAGGATTGTTGCAAGTTTGAGACCAGCCTGGGCTACAAAATGTAGCCTCAAGTCCAGCCTGAACTGCATATCCAGATCCTGTCTCAAAAAGACAAAAAAACAAAAACAAAAAAACAAAAACAAAAACAAAACAAAACAAAATCTCTCATTGGGTTGTTGGGTTCAAAGGATGTGAAAGGGCTTCCAGAATATGAGAAAGGCTGAATATGATTGCTTTGGTCACTGTTTCTGTCCTCCTCCTCCTCCCCCTTCCCCTTTCCACCTCTCCTCCACCCCTCCCCTCCTCCTCCTCCTAACATCAAGAAATGGGAACCATTTGACCAAAGTCACTCAGCAAATCATTGGCAGATTTGGGGCTCACACCCAAGTCTGGCTGGTTCCCAAACCTAGGGTCGAGGGTTGTTGCAAAATATCATCTTAGGGTTAAGATCAGGGTTAATAAGCAGCAGCGGAGGTCTTTAGAGAAGCCCTGGATTCAAAGCCATTTCCAAGCCTCTCTCAACCTCATTTTCCTCATCTGTGAAATGGGTCAAAGTCCTCCATTTGCAGAACTGTCACGCTGGTCAGACAAGAGTCACAGAAAGTGCTAAGCACATAGTAGGTGTTCAGTAAGTGATTGTAGACACACTTACCTTAAAGCTGAGGATTGAATGAGACAATGAATGCCTGTGTTTAGAAGTTTCTGGTACACAGTAAATATTGGATACTTGATCATTATCACTTTTATTATTATTGTCATTACTATCATGATGTGGTTTCCAGCTATCCAAAATGCTCTTGGAAACCTCCCACTGCCTCTTCTTTCCTTTAAAAATATTTTGGTTTTGTAGTACAGTACTGGGGGATGAACTCAGGATTAAACTTGGGGTCTTCACATTGAGCTACATGCCCAGCCCTTTTTATTTTTGACTTCGAAACCAGCTCTTGCTAAGTGACTAAATTGCCAAGGCTGGACTTGACCTTGTCATCCTCCTGCCTCAGCCTCCCAGCATGCTAGGATTATAGGTTTTTACCATCAAGCCTGGTTTTCTCTCTTTTGATCTCTCAGTTATCCCTGCCCATCTTCTTCCTAAAATATTTTGGATCCTTTTGCTACTATGCTAGGCCAAGTAATATTATCTCTTGCCTCGCCACATTCTCTACCAGGAACACATTTGTGGTGGAACAAGCTGGTTTTATTGGTCTGGGAGTGAGGGAGAACACACCCCTCAGAGGCCCCAAGAGGTGCTCCACTGAAAGGACATTAAAAAGGATTTATTTGAAAATTTGGATGTAAGTGTGGTGGTTTTAGAGGCAACTCAAGGAATTTGGACTTTGCTCTAGCTTGGCTACTGTTACAAAGTAGGAGTCATGCTGTGATTGGATTTTTCTATAAATCTTATTTATGAGGCAAGAGAAACAAAGCAAGGATAAAGTCATAATTTATAGTAACATAATAATATAAATAGTCACTTAGATTAGCCAAAATATGGGCTGTTTAGTCATTTTGTGGTTTGCATAAAGATCTCCTTTCTGTGTAGAGACATGGTTATGGAGTGGTTTTGATTTTTGTCTTGACCTTTCACAGATCTTGACCAATGGCACTGTTCTGTGAGGTTATTTATGGGCATGAGAACCCCGAAGCCCCTCTGTGAGGGCCAAGCCAACTTCAGACTCTCAGGGGTTGCTTTTCTCTTTTTCCCAGGATGCTGGCTCCTTACTGGTCTCCTGGCCTTCTCTCGCTCCTTCTGGATTTCGTTTCCTTCTTTTACACAGAGACCATAGTAACCCTGTTCCTTCTTTTTTTTTTTTTTCCCTAGTACCAGGAATCGAACTCATGACCTTTTGCTTGCCAGGCAGGTGCTGTGCCGCTGAACTAAATCCCCAGCCCAATTTCGTTTTTTGCTTTTTGTTTTTTTCTTGTGGTACTGAGGACTGCAGGCAGGGCCTTGCACCTGCTACGCAAGCATGTACCACTAAGCTACCATTCCCAGGGCTTTTTATTCTATTTGAAACAAAGTCTTGATAAGTTGCCCAGGCTGGCCTCTAACTTGTGATTCTCCTGCCTCGGCCTGCAAAGTAGATGGTAAGGTTACAGGCGGGTACCACCACACCTGGCCTCCTTTGTTTTTATTGAGCATCATAATGCAGTGAAGTGCATAAACGTGCAGCTCCATGATGTTGTACATACATGTGCACAGGCGTTGCTACCTCCTCAGATGGACAGTGGGGCTCCTCATGACACTCCTTTTGGGGCGAGGCCCCTAGGAGGCAGCCCCTGGTCTGATTTCTCTCACCCTAGGTTAGTTTCCCTATCGATTTGGACTCTCTCAAACGTTCTCCAGCTTTCTCAGAATTAATCCAAATCTCCTTTCCTGGCTTACCCCTGCCTGGGTCTTTCACCTCAGCTCCCACCCTTCTGGAGTCGAAAAACGACACATGTAGAGCTCAGTATGTTCCAGGGTTTCAACCTGCTCCATTTGCCTTCACAGAACGTCATGGCTGAGGTCACGCTCTTCCTCAGGAAAACGAGGCCCACTTCTAGACTCACCCCTCCCTGGAGCTCTTGCTTCCCTGAGCAGGTCTCCATGGTACAAAACAGTGCGCAAGACGATGTAACCTGTGTCTCTCTCCTCAAACCCGGAGCCGGGTGAGGACAGCACCAGTTCTCCTACCCTCCCGCAGCACTTACCCTCCCTCCAGGTCAAAGCGAGGCCCAGTTTCCTGGCTCTTTGGATACTGAATACTGATGCCGGGTAGCTCCTGCCTCTCCTTGAGCCCCATTTCTCTCTGTTCCCAATCACAGACTTTCTCCCAGGACTGTCAGGGAACCTCGACTTCCGTCCTTTCCCTCCTTGGCAGCTGCTCAAGGCTGGAGCCGCTCTCCCAGTGGGTGAGGCACCTTGGGGTGGGCCCGCCCGCCCCACAACGGACGCTGACTGGGCCCGGTTGGGCAAGGCCAGCGTCGCCCCGGGGTAGGTTACTCATCCAGGGCTCAGGTAAGAGGGCCCCGGTTGGGAGGCGGCACACCCAGGGGGGACGCCGAGGGAGCAGGAAGGAGCCATGGACTCCGCCAGGAAAGCAGGTGCCCGGGCCGCGATCTGGACCACAGGCTGGCTCCTGTTGTTGCCACTGCTGCTTCGTGAAGGTGGGTCTGCCGCCCAAAGGTCCCGGGGGCAGAGTAGGGGCTGTTAGGGAGGAGGATCCCACCACCACAAGGCTCACCACCAGCAGCAAGCCTGTGGTGGGGGGAGGCCCCCACCCTGGGTACCAGTAGGCTGTGAAAAGGGTTCCCCTGCCCTGGGCAGGGGGGCTGTGGGCAGAACCCTTTCATTCCCCCCGCCCCCGCACCAGGAATCGAACTCACGATTTCACGTTTGCTAGGCAGGCGCTGTGCCGCTGAGCTAAATCCCCAGCCCCAGAACCCTCTCATCTTTTTTTTTTTTTTTTTTTTTTTTTTTT